TGGATTTCTTTCCCACACGCAGCCCTGGCCGGGAAGCAAGCTGAGCTGAGATCAAGTCTGCAAACGTCCAGGAGCACTAGGGCGAAGAATGCCAAGCACACAACACTTGGTGCAAAATATGCCAAGAACATACTTCTCTGTGCTAAACGCAAAATTCTTTGCATGAAGTACACAAGACCTACAGAAACCGTATGAGGAAGAGGAATGCCACCTGGGGCAAGGTGGATTTCAGGCAGAGAAGGGGGCTGCAGTCGCAGGGGCAGAGCTGAGGAAGTCCATCAGATTCTCACCTCCCATCCAGACATCCCTAAGTACGTTGTAAGTTATGAGGACAACATTGCATGGGACAAATCTTCCAGCATGGAAGCCAAATTCAACTTCCTGTTGAAGTCTTCCTGTTGGCTTCTCTGTTTGGAAAGACATGAGATGTGGGTGCCAATTTTGACCTGCAGCTCTGGGGTCAGTCTAGTTGGTACTCTATGCCGGGGGTGTGCAGCCCACGGCCCACGGGCCGCATGCGGCCCAGGAGGGCTATGAATGTGGCCCAGCACAAAATCATAAATGTACTCAAAACACTGAGATTTTTTGGAACTTGATTGTGTGGTTCTCAAGCATGAACTTTGTGTTGCGATGTCACATAAAATAAATGTTCGCATGCTCTTGCTATTTGTATGCATGTGTGGCTTCAGTTTTAGGGCGGTGTGCAGCTTCCATCTGTGTGCGACTATTTTCAAGAATGAAGCACACTAAGAGTAAAATTAGAACGAAGTATCTGATGAGGATCTTGAGAACTCACTGAGAATTTCAACTACTTCCATCGAACCAGATACTGACACCTTAGTTTCTCAAATGCAATGTCAAATATCCCACTAGTTTTATGTTGCCCTCTTTTCTTTTACTTGTATAATAAAAAATATTTAAAAATCAATGAAGTTTTATTACTTAGATATGTTCGTTTTCTATACTAGGGATCGCAAACTTGGGACCTGCTCGATGATTTTAAAGGACTCTCCAAATGGGGCGTCACATAATTAGCATTATTATGTGAGGACATTTTTGCTTATCTGTGGTGGTGGATATTGCAAATATTATGCACAGACTTTTTTTTTTTTGCTCATTAGTTTTCGTTGGTTTTTGTGTATTTAATGTGTATTTAAGAGAGCGAGTGTAGTGTAGTGGTTAAGAGCATGGGACTGGGACTCGGAGGATCTGGGTTCAAGTCCCCGCTCAGCCATGGAGCCAACTGGGTGACTTTGGGCCAGTCACAGACTCTCAGCCCAACCTACCTCACAGGGTTGTTGTTGTGGGGATAAGATGCAGGAGAGATGATGTAAGCTGCCTTGAGCCCTTTGTAGGAAAAAGGCAGGATATAAATCACAATATAAATAAATAAATAAATAAATAAATAATTGTGCAGCCCAAGACCATTCTTCTTCTTCCAATGTGGCCAAAAGTTTGGATACCCCTGCTAAATGTGCTCCCTACTGGGTTCATATCCCATTTAGGGTGCCACCAAATAAAATCCACACCCCAAGCCTTGGGATCAGTGAGCCCAAAACTGGCTGCAGCAGAAAAGTTTAGAATTGGCTCTGTTTCTGTTATGCTCAGGTTGGCAAAGGTTGAAGCACTCAGACTCATGCTCAGGAAGATAACTGTTTTGCTGGGTTTTTTAATCCCAGGAAGTGTGTGCGGTTGTTCCCCCATTTCGGCAGGCACAAACAGGTTTCAACCCCACAAAGCAAAGTGGTGGTTCACACACGCAGGGTGTACTCCCACTTCCTACCTTGAGGTTTGGAGATAAAAGAAATTACTCCATCATCCCCAGCGGAAAGCGTGGGGCCCGTTTGTCTCTCTGCAGTGACCGCAGAGGCGAGGGCTTCCCAGTCCCGTGGCTGGAATGTGGCTAGAACGGACGAACACAAAATGAAACCGAAGCAAGTTCTTACCCTCTCCCACAGTCCTTCTGTAGATGTGACAGGCAGCAATTCAACTGGTGCCAGCAGACAGCCAGTGTGGTGCTGTGGTTAAGGGGTCTGGGCTGGGATTGGGAGAACTGGGTTTGAGGCCCCACCCAGCCAAAAAGCCCATGGGATGACTTTGGGTCAGTCAAAGGCTGGCCTACCTCACAGGGCTGTTGTTGTGGGGATAACAGAGAGGAGAACCTTGCAATCAAACAAGGATTCCATGCAAGAGGGAAAAAGGTGGAATATAAAGGCAGTGCTAGAAGGAGAAGCAGCAGCAGCAGCAGCAGCTTCATGGGACTGTTGTGAAAGTAAACATTGGAATAAAGGGTATCTGACATGCTGTAAGCTGCTTGGTGAAGCTTTGTACCTGCCGAGTGGGGCATACAGTTCTTAAATAAAAATAATATGGACCCCAAAAGGGACTGAAACCGGTCTTGGGCACCTGGGTGGAATGGCTGAACTCCTCTTTCCGACCTGGTGTTTTTACCAACTCAGACTGCATCATCTGTGTTCTTGAACATGCTTTGTGCGGCTCGCTCACATTCTAGGATCCCTCTAGTGACTCACAGCACTGCACAAGGGGCTAGACCTGATGGTCCTCTGGCCCTTTCCATCTCTACTATTCTAGGATTCTAGATATTATTTCTACACAGTGCATAATTAGGCAAATTGGCACGTCGCAATCAGGTCAGCTGAGAAGCAGCCTTGGTCCTTGGCCAGGCTTTAGGGAAGGCTTTTTAACAAGTCGCATCAGCACCAGAGCTGGCCTTCACAGTACAGCAGACGGAGCCTTCTCGGTGTTGGTGCCCAAGTTCTAGGCAACCATCATAAAAACAATCCAGCCCTTCTCCCTCTGTTTATATGCATTCGGCTGCTAATTAAAAACCTGATTGCAGCACAGCTTTTAATGATTTGAGTGCAATTCAGGCATAGCTCACAGCATGCTTTTGTTCTTGAAGAGCTACTTTTATTGTTAGTATGCGTTACTGATGTTTATTTGCTGTTTCTGTGTTTGTTTTGGAGCATGTTTAAATATTTGATGTTTATTGCTTGTTTAACCACCCTGGACAATCAGAGAGAGAGAGAGAAATTGCATACACAGAGCCGTCAAACCAGGGCAGCTTTGTCATATTGTCAGATTTCTGAACAGGCCAAAAGGCCTTTTTAGTTCCTTGGTTTCATCCAAGTGAAGGCCTGTTGAGCTAGTTGCGGGCAGCCCTCACGATTGCAGCCTTTAAAATCTGGATTGTGATTCAGTTTGCAGGTATGAACTGCCATGAGCCATGCAGCTGGCTTGGAAGGTCACTTACAGGGGCTTGGTCCCCGCTCTGTGATTATGATGCAGAAAGACGGAGATGGAAATATTTTAACTAAGGGACTGATCTCATTTTCCACAGTGAGAGAGGATGAGAGAGAGGGAACTCCCATGAACACGGGGAAGATAAGCAACCTGGGAACGAAGCGCAAGCAGAGAAGCCCCGCTGGAGGCCCACTGCAGCAACAGAAATAAAACCAAGCACGACGGGTGCTGGCAAAGACACCTGGGTGGCTGAATAATTGGCGATTTCCCTCCCCTCCCTGTGAGACGGCACCCGCCCTCGCTGGAAACGGCACGCACGCTGGTGAGATCAGGTGGGCGGCTGGCATGCTGGCCATTCCTGATCTAGGTGTGGCAGGATGAGGCCGATTTCTGGAATGCAGCCGGACTGCGAAGGTGACTGAAGCGTGGCAGGGCTTCCTCCCGCTCTGTGCTCGCCCAGGAGGAAACCATCCACGGGAACAGTGACCCAACTTGGGTTCACCCTGCCAGGAATGTATTAATTAGCCCTCCGTGACAGCAGGTTTCAAAACACGGGTGCTCTGGTTCCCAGGCAGCTGCCTCTCGCGACCTCACAGCGCGATGGACTGTCGACACACACAACACGGCGAACGCAACACACACAAAGCCTTCTGCTCACGGCAGGGAACGGGGAGGGTGCGCAAGTCGAGGAAAAGCGGCTAGGCTGCATTCTGCATGCCAGCCAAAATTAGGTCCTGGCCCCACCTAGCATACAAATCCCATTGCACCTGAAAATGAGAGGCAGGTTTTTTTCCCCCTCTTCGGATGTACTGTTTTGCTCAGATGCACATCGATGTAATTTAATCTTTTAATCTTGGATTAATTGTACCTGTTTGAGTAGATTTGGTGATGGGAAACATAAGAAGATGCTTTTTATATTGGTCCAACAACCTTCCTTGTCTTCATCAGGAAAGGGGGCTTGTCCCCTTCCAAGATGGTGCTGAACTTCAACTCCCATCAGCCCCAGTCAATAGTTAGGGATGATGGGAGCTGCAGTGCAACCCTATCCGGAAGGTCATTGGTTCCCCTGTATGATTCGTCACTGGTTTCATACAGAACTCTCTCCTAGCCCTACCTGGGGCTGCTAGGAGATTTAGGGATACATAAATCAGCAAAGCTCAGTCTTGCCAAAGTTCTCTAAATTCCATCCTGAAGCTCCTTCCAGCTCGCGTCTGTATCAGGTTGCAAGCTTTCTTTTTCATTTGACATGAAAATCTGTCAACCTGATTCTTGTGCCTATTTTCCCAAATGTACAACGAGTCGTGTGCACCTGTGAGAAGGTACACAAGCTTCTCTCACTGATTAAAGCGTAATGCTGTGTCTTTATAAGAAGTTCCCTGTTTAATAAGAGTAATCATAAATCTTTATCATGGTCAGAGACTAGACCAAAACAAAACATTAAAAGACAATACAGAAATACTGGAAGAATATAGGCAAATATTAAACATCGGTTGGTTGTAAGGTGTATATAACTGTGCCGATAAACCAATCTGAAGTTGTATGCTCCCTGTTTCATGTGCAATTTTCAAATGGACACACGCATTGCCTGCATTTTGGGCTCTGCAAATGACTTAGAAATGTCCAAACCACAAACTGTGTCTTCAATTGAACCAAAACAATGTTTCCCTCTCCTCCTGCCTGGCTCAGCCAATCAACGACGCTTCCATCACAGCCCACCACCCGCCACCCTATCTTACCTGCTCTGTGATGAAGGAGCTGGAGAAGGTGACGGCTGACCAGAAGAAAATCCCGCAACTGAGAATGATCTTCCTGTTGAAACGGTCGCCAAGATAGCCAAAAATCGGGGCAGCCACCATGAAGCTGCAAATGAAAACTGCAGGGGGAGAAAGAGAACAGAAAGAGGTTGAGCCGGTCTTCATGAGCTGTTCTGAAGTGGGCCAAGAGAATTCAGGGCATTTCAGGGGCCATGCAAAGAAGCAAGAGGATTCGTTCAGCGGATCCATGCTTAGGGTTTGGGACACACCCCATCTCTGGCATTAAAAGGGGGACCACCAACTCTGTCTAAATCCCTGCACAGGGGAATGTAAGATCTCAATACTTCACTTGGAAAGCACTGCTAGGCTGTGCTGTATGGTGTTTATTTCAAGTGTTCTGGAACTCTATCTTTTTACAGCTAAAGCATCTAATCAGAAAAAGCACAGGGCCCCAAAAACAAAACCCAAATGGGCAAGATCTTCACATCAGATCAACCGATTAACCCACTAAGGTTGCTGTCCTGCAGTTACTTGGGAGTAGGACCAATGGAACCTCATATAGTACTTACACCTGAATAGGAACACAAAGGACCGAAGCGTAAAACCCCGTAAAACCGTGGGCTTAGACAGATTACCTTTTTTTTTTTACATGGAAATTAAGTTCTTAAAGACAAGACCAGTTGCGGTCTTCCATTCAAATAGGTAATTATTGCTTGAGAGGTTGAAGATGCTGTTTATAATTCATATGAAAAAGACCTCGCTCAAGGGAACTGAATGCAAACAGTACCCCATCAGGAAATTAGATATCTGAGCATTTAACTCTGCATACATTTTTCCTTATTATAACAAGTCATTTGCTGCTGTTGTGCAATAAACCTGGTTAACATCATCTATTTTTCCTGTGTTTGAAAGCAATGCTATTTTAATTAGATGATTTAAGCTTCTGTGCAACAGAGGCGGCATAAAGAGCTAAATGATCGCAGGAGCAGGGGAGAAATACAGGAGGAGAACAAAGGAAGAAATTCTGGGGCTACGGCAGGAAGATGGCCGACCCCAGATGGCTGAATAATAAGACCAAAGCCTGACACAGCTCTGCGCTGAACGAGACCTGATGCTGCACGAGCATCAGGATGCTGATTGACTTGCAAACAAATTCAGAAAATGACTGGGAGCCTCTCCGGCAGATTGCTTGCCAGCCTGCCTTGTTAGGAACAGATCAATCCCAGCAATTATGTTGGGCCGTGAGCGACGACTCTCGGCAGCTCAAAGCTCCGTTCACCTGGTTTTATTTTCTGGCGTAAACAGGCATCACCGCCTGCAGAGAAGGGAAGGCGAGAGGAAGGCCCTGGGGCAAATCTGGGGGAAAGAAAGGGGGGAACTGCATTGGAACAGCCCAAAGGCCAAGCCGAGGGGCAGATGAGCTTTGGACCACCCTCTGCCTTCCATGGAAGGGCCCTCGGCGAAGCGGTGGCTTCGGCCGGTGTGCCAGCACCTCCAAACAGCCGCCACTCTCATTCCTTTCTTTCTTGCACAATTCTTTGGAAACTGGAAAACGGCGCCATTTTGCTGGAGGTCGAATGGTAGCCTGGAGCTGCCAGGAGCAGTCCTCTTTCTTAGAGAATGGCCACGGTGACCAGTCAGTCTGGCTGCAAGATCAGGAGCAAGAACTGCAGGGAACAAAGAGCTGGGAAGAAAGCCACCGCCACCACGCCTGTGGCTGCGAGAACGGCACCGGGGGCACAGAGTGAAGCCCCCCGAGAGGTCCATTTGTCACACTTCACAGTCACTGGGTAGCCGCAGGCGGGTCTGGTTTATTAATGCTCAGCCAGGGTTGGGATGAACCCTTTCGGGATCGGTCCTCCGAGCATCCGTGAACTTCACCCCGTGGCTGGCCCCGAGGCAGAGCCCACAGCGCCCACGCCCCCCGCTGCCCAAAGGGTGCCTGCAGGACACGGGGGGGGGGCCATGAGCACGCTGGGTGCACTTGCGAGGGGCGAGGGGCCACTGCAAACCGGGCTGAGGTCCAGGGAGCGGAGCCCAAGGCACCCGGCGGCTTCCCACCCCCAGCTGGATTCCTGCCACATTTCTACCCAGGGAAGACTGACTTGGTTTCGCTGGTCTTGGCTTCCAAACGACCAACAAAGAAGCACTGCTATGATGTTGTAATTACTGATTCGACCTATTCGGTAACTAATCAGACTTGTTACCACGCCAGAAGGCATAAAACGAATGGCTGGGGTTGCTTCTGATTGCCATGACGCGCTCATTGTAAAACGGAAGTCTTAGAACGCGCTCTTTTGCTGCCGCGAAAGCTTCTGCTGTCGGGGAGGATTTTTCTGCACCGACTGGCAATAACTGGGGGGGGGACTTTCATGCTTCAAGATGCTGGCAGAAAACCTGGGACATTTGGCATGCAAAGCATGTTTTCCACCCCCAAGAGATGCCCCCCTCCTCCTATCAACCAAGAACGGGGTCATCATTTGATGGGGCAGCTCCTGCTTTGCACGCAGGAGCCCCCCCCCCCCCCCCCCCGATCCCCGGAAGCTCCTATTGTTGAATATCTGCATTTTGCACGCTCAAGACGTCTCTCCTCAGTCCATTTTGCCCTGGCCCTTCTCACTGAGCCTCAGCACAGCCCTGCCCCTTCACTACGCATCCCATGTGGATTCTCTCTCGAAAAGACCCACAGACAGAAGCCATTGCTAGCATCCCCCAGACACACACACAAAGGCCAAATTCTGTTTCAGAACCACAGCCAAAAATGCCAGCATCACATCAGGCTAGACAACCACTTCCAGAGCTGGGCCACACAGAAGGTAATCTTCAAAAAGGGCGGCCGGTAACCGCCCTGTTTTTTCCACCTAACCAGGCAAGCTTTTGGCCAACCCAAAAATACCATCCAAAAGGGCAGGTGAATAAAAATAGGGGAATCTATCCACCCTTCCGATTTACGGTTCCTCCCCAAAAGAGCCAGATTTGGGGGCTGATATTTTGGAACAAAAATGGAAAACACGTTTGTTTCCGTGCAGTTGTGGTGAGGAGACAGGAAAGGTTTAATTATCTAGGCAGGATAGGATGGCTGCCTCAGATCTATTTCTGCCTGACCTGCCCAGCACAGGTGGACTGCGCCTCTCTCAGATCTCTCCCCGATCTTTTTCTGTGCATGGTCGGGGAAAAAATTGCTCCCTTTTAATTATACAGGGAGAAGCAGCAGTTCATCTTCTCCAGACCCCACAGCTTCCTTCATGCACTGCTAGCCATGAATGCCGGCTCGGTGCCTCCATCCTGCCAGTTCCATTCGACCCGCAACACGCTTCTCTGTGAGGAAAGGCAAAGCGGCTCTTTGCTGGACAGAACAGAACTAAGCAAACTAGTGGCGCGCCTTTGACAAGGAAAGGGAGAGGAATCCCAGTGAAACATTTTAAGATAAGGCCTTTTCACCTCCCGGAGTGAAATCGAAGCTCAAAATTGCCCTTGGAGTGGCGAGACTTGCGCCTGCTTGTTTCTACGGATCGGGGCCTTACACAGAGAGGTGTGCACGCCTGAGCCACAGGCTCCTTTTCAGGCCGAGTTCTTTCAACTGGGTGCCTCGGAATATTCCCAGGGGTTCCTTGGGGAGAGCGTACGCAACGATGGACCAGGTCCCCCAACTTGGCACGCGGCCTGCCCTTGGCAACGGCCCTCCTTGCTCCAGAATAGAGGGGGCGCCCAGCAAACGGCCACCTGGGGCCCCACCCACATGCATGACGACGACTGCATTTATACCCTGCTTCTGCAGCCATCCAACCCCCAAGTGTGGACCGACGAGCAAGAGGCAGACGACACCGGCACGGAGGGACGCGCCTTGGAGTGAATTCCAGGCGCAGGGGCTGATGGGATGCCTGCCAACAGTGGGAAGCCTGAGTGGGGAGGATGGAAAAGCACTTGCTCATCTCCTGGGAGATCACGGGAAAAGAACGTGAGCCATGGCGTCCATGCAAGGGGGCTTGCTGAGTCCCGTGAAGGCAGCCGCGGAGAGACAACTCTCCAAAGGCCCTCAAAAAGTTCAGAGCCTTTGATCCTTTCCCAGGTTTTGCACAATCCCCCTGCACAAAAAAACAAAAAAACAAAACAAAACCCGCCTCTCTCAAGTTGCAAGAGTTCTGAGTTGCAACATGTAGGTAATTATACATAATTTCGGCCACACTGCTTGCTTTCCAATCTGCCTACCCCTGAGGGCTTCCTCAACGCTGAATTTGGCCCTCTGGTGGAAAGCAGTTCCCCACCCCTGCTTTGGGCATCAAGCCACATTTCAAGTGTGCACCCACACTGAGGACTAGTGCAATGTTATGTCAGGTGCCTGCTGGGTCCAGGGCCTGCATGAGGCTCTGAAGTGGTGTCCATATCACACTGTCCATGCAGCCCTCGCTCTGGTGTATCCAGAGGCTGAAAACTGAAGCCATGAATGGTTAAACAGTGCACACACAACAGAAGTGGATATCCAACTTAACCACACTGTGAGATTAATATAAATCAACACTTTCCAAATGGCTGCCATTACCACCTAACATACCACCCCGACATCTTAGAAGGCAATTAGCCTTAAAAAGGGAGTGGCAGAAATGCGAGACAAACCGATGATTACCTGTACACGAGAAATGCTGTGATCGAATCTTCATACTTCGATCTCGGGATCCGCTGTGGAAACTCGGACAACAACTAGTCAGAGAAGGCTTTGGCGTGGAGACAGCAGGGGGCCGGGGCGGGCAATTTTAAAGCCAGTTCTGCTTAATTTGGCGCTTGATCCATCACAATGCCTCCGCGGCTTTGACCTCCCTCAGAAACACTGGACAGCGCTTAACCGGATTCGGACCCATCATGGCAGATGCCAGTGCTGGAACCTTAACTGGGGACTGGTTGATCATCCTAGTTGTGACTGTGGGAGAGTCCCACGAACTATGAGGTCATGATGGACGCCCCCCCCCCCCCCCCAGACGGTATCCTGCTACCCTGGAAGAGTCACTGCTATCCAAGGGTTAGATCTTGCTATTCAGCCACAGTAGCTCTACCAGCGACAAGCTAGTTGCTGCTCATACATAACCTAATTTTATCTCCAGTCTTACCCATTATTCATATTGCA